AAGCTAGCTCCTTCAAAGGCATCCATTGGAGCAAGTGGCCTGGCAAATGTTGAGTCAAATAATGACAAGTTCAATTGTTTGACTTGGTTTCTGAGTCTGGAATGCGCATTTAGGCCCTCGTTTCGGCTAGTATTTGCTTGTGGTATGCGACATACGTTCATTTTTTCGAATGAATTGTGTGAAAGAAGTCTTTCTCCTTTCACGCCAGGGTGAGCAACTACGAAGCCACGAGCGATCGGCCGGTGGTGCGCAAGTCCTTGCTGCGCGAGATGCAGGAGTTGATTGGACCGCGACATGGAACCGTCCACAAACATCCCCAAAGAACCGAACACGCAGGATGCGCCGCAGCACTTGGAATGGCTGCAGGCAAGAAGAGAAGACGAGACATGTCGTTTCACCCGCGGTGAAGCGGACCGAAATCGATCGAGGAACGGAAGACGCATCGTTTGGCGCGAGGCCCATCCACCTCCAGGCTACGAGGAACGCGATTACTCCAGACGGAACGTGCCGGATGCTCTGATGGACACTAAGAAGACAGAAGACTCCTTCCCTTATTTGCTGAGTTGCCCTTGTAGTGTGAAGAACATCTATGTCCCCAGCTCCAGGTTGGCACGGGAAGCCAAGGAGGATGAGGATAGACACTTGGACCAGCGACCGCAGGCTGTGATCTTTGTCAGAGCAACGCATTGCAAAAGAACTGAAGAAGTACATTTGAACAACAACAAGCATTTTCTCTCAATTTATTGCCTTTTAACTTTTCGCCTTGTAACTTTTCGCCTTTTGAATCAGACAAGAGGGTAACAACTTGGCTGTGCTATGCCGCTGCGCTTGTGAATCACCGAGCCCTTGATTCCATTTGCAGCGGCAGGGAGTTGCTGGTTATGGCCGTCCGGGCACCTCAGGGTGTGTTGTTGTTGTTGTTGTTGTTGTTGTTGTTGTTGTTGTTGTTCGACAACAGGGACTTGGTAGAGTATCTTTGGTGGGGAGACTGTATATTGAGACAGGCGTCTGGCAACAAACTTGAATTCGATGCATCCGGTTGCTTTGCTGATGGCTCATGTGCTGAATGATTGATCAATCTCCAGGTTCACAGTAATTTGTCACCTGAGAAAGGGCCACCAAAAAACGTACCCTGGCCGATGCCTCATCAATTTCGCAGCTTAGGCCGCAATGTGCTGACTCGTGAGGTGGCCAAAGATGGCGATACTGCGAACATGCCACGACCAGCTGCCATTGAGGCGAGAGAAAAACACCATCGTTTTCAGTTTCGTCCAAGTTGCGACGATCGTGATCTGGATCAGGCTGGCGGTGCACCTGTTTTCATTCGCCCGCGGACCCTCGTCAAGGCTGGGTGTTGAGCTTTCACGAAACAGTCTGGCTATGTTTAGCTTGCTTCAATTTTGACAGCCATTATATACAGCAATTGAAAGCTGGGTTGTTCGCGAGGTGAAAGGCCTCCAATGAATCTTGGGGCTCTTTTGGCTTCGACTGCCCGGGCCTCGCAATAAACCTTATAACTTATATCCAATATTGAGAAGAACACCCATATTGAACTCGTGGCTCCCACATTCAGTCTTGCAAGCATTCAACTTTGTTTCCGCATGGCACGAAGAATGGGAGTTTCCTTTTTGATCTCATACTTCCTGCTCACTGATTTCTGGGTTGGTTGGTGCTACCAAAAGCCTGAAGGAAGAGCTCCTTGGGGTCTCTGAATCCTGCAAGGACAGGAATGAAGGAATTGTCATGGATTCTTGATCTCTCTAAAAAAAACAGGATCATCCAAGAGATCAATTTGCTTTGAAGAATCCCAGACGTGCTGCTACTACATCTAAATCCTTGATGCTTGCCTTCATGCATTGCATGCATTTAGAATGAGCTGTTCAAAGGACATCACAAGATCAAGTACTTTAATAGATGAGCCGATGGGGTGGCAGCAACCACATTCAATTCTTCTTATTTGCGCCTCAGTGCCTCCTAAAGTTTGGAGTTTGCACGGCTGCATGCATTTGTTGAGAATCCCTCGCTGCATGAACCAAAGTCTGTGTGGACCGATACAATATCAAGCCCCAAACGTGCAGACCAGTAGTACACAGTACTACTGTGTGTTTTTGGCTGCAGGAAGGCTTTCCTTGATGTTCACAGTTTATTTGTGCACTTATCATCGGAGCATGAGAGTCTTTATGTGAAGCAAGTGTTTGCAATTCCAATCGTATGTGCTTGATCTCAAGTGAAGTTTATGGATGTTTGAATGTTTTGGCAACGTCAGCCGTCCTTTTGCCCAGCTGTGTTTCACAGTTCCTACTCTATTCTTCGATCGTTGGGCTGTAACTCACTTGGTAGAACGTTGGTAGACAGCAAGTAATTAAATTTCAGATGGCAGTCACACATGCTTACTTTGACTACTCATGAGACACTACAGAAGTAAGCTGCAGGTACCATTGCACTGCCGGTGAAGCCTTTTCTCTAGAACAGAAACCGCCGCAGCAGATTCTTTTTGTTCTTTTCAGCAGACTACAAAGCAATGGGTATTCCCGACGATGCAAACCCATTGAATCGTTCTCTACCAGCAGAAGTTGTGACAAGGACTGCGACAATGGCACGTTCAAAACGGAGCATTGACTTGAACAAAACTCTTTGTCCCTCCTTTTACCGCACGTAACCACATGCTCAAACAGTGTTGGATTTGGAAGACGAGTTGGCTTTTGCAAACTTCTATATATTCACCATCCTGCGAGGCAAAGGCCGCAGACCAAGAAGCAAGTGAAGGAGGAGCACTGTTCTGCACATTTGGATTGGATTTCCGGTGAACACTGGCTCTGGTGGCATATCCGGTCTTGGTGGTCGTAGCAAAGAAGGCGATGCAGCTTGTGATAGGAGCCGGTCCCCTTGAACGTCGACGCGAAACAGGCTCAGTTAAACCTTGCAAGACCAAGATCTCAACGATTCAAAGCACACATACGTTGCTTTAAGATCCCTCGAACTACAGCAAGACTCAACATCATTTGAAGCTGCTGTGGTTGGAGGTGCATTCCCTGAAGCCGGAGCTCCGCTATAAATGGCTTGGCAAAGCACTGCAGCGCTGTCCCATGCTCAAACAGCGTGTCATGCACTATGACTCAGGCTAAGTTCAGTGAAATGGACACTGTCTTGGCATTTTGACAATGGTATGACATGATGATTTGGGACCACTGCCAACGTGTGAGGTCAAGAGGGGAAAGTCGAGAAGACATTGATCTTTGACATTCTTACCAACGTCAAAGCCTTGGGAAAGCCTTGAGACGTTATATAAGTTGTTCCCTAAAAAATTAGGAACCAAATGAATCGTGCGAGCGCTTTTATCTTTAATATATAAATACATGTTTCAGGCGAAATTTTGCAACGATTGTTCCAGCAAGCTCGGGGCCAAGATGTATCGAATCGCCCAGGCCTTAGTCGATTGGTCCTCAAGAATGCTTCTTAGGTTTCCTAGATAATAGGATCTGTGGTGTTCCACGGCAACCTCCGACATGCCAGTCACTAATCACCAGCCGATGATAGCCCCAGAGTTTTTTTGTGGCGCATGTTGCTGTATCAAGATAGATTGGACAGGTAGACAAAAACGTGGCTCTTGTCAATGTCACCCAACTTGGGTCATCCAGATGGAAACAAATGTTCCAGTCAGCAAAACACAAACTCCACAGCAAGACAAGGGGCAGCAACATGAATCATGGGCCAAAAGTCACAACAGTAACACGGATGGCCCATACATTAAAGAGGTTCAACATAGGCGAATTGCGCACTTGGAGCCGATCAAACCTTCCAAAGGTACAGAGACTAGCATGACTGACACACATGAAGCAAAAACGATGCAAACGAAGCCGTAGCAAGGCCGCAAGGCCAGGAACACGTGTTTTTTTTTAGAGGAAGAAGAACACAAAAACAGGGCCGACAACCTCCGCCAACACTGCAGCCTGCTTTCCGAGGTGTTGGCCCACGCCGACTTATTCTCGCCAAAGCAGCGAAAACATCTACAAGTCGGCGGGGAATCGAAAAGAAAAACGGAGGGAAACCAAACCGTTCCGCCATGTTTCACTCTTGGGATAGCCTTGTCCTTGTTTGGCACCCGAGAAGAGATTGACTTTGGTTGAGAAGTCCAAACGGGAATGAAGATGGGACTGTAATTAGTTGGCTTGCTTTGGGATAGCAGATTTGTTCTGTTCAAAAACACTCTCCATAGAGAAGCAATTGCTATGGACATGGACAGTTTGACCTGCAGGGGACTGTCCACTGCGGAAGCTATACAAGAAGGTGCCGGAGACGATTGCGTTTCACAGAGGATATTCTTCAGTGACTTGATGGGCCTTGCAGTGAATTCTCTTGCTCCAATTTATCAAACCCGCGAAGCTTTTGCAGGCTGCCTCAGATGCAGAGCTTGAAGAGAAGGGTGAGGCGACAGCAAAATCTGCAAGACTCTCTGGATGTTAAATGATGTTAACATGTGTGAACTATATACTTTTCATTCTGCAATGCAGCGCAGAACTGACAGCAACCCAAACTGGTTTAGGTTCAACTTGTGGTTCTATGCAGTGTTTTCCAGTGGTAGCGGCCAAAGTGTTGCAAAGTGGATCGACTATTTTGGAAGTTGCATCAGTCAGGTTTTCAATGCACATCACCATCCCAATTTGTCGTCACTGATTCCTGCCCAGGTGCGAGAAAAGTCAGGCGTGCTTATTAACTTCAATGCGGCTGACTCCACCCCAGTCCAGCATGGACTGAATTACTTCCTTTGAACAGCATCCCTGTCCTCCGTGAGAGATGACACAGTCACTTTACAGATCAGTTGTATCCTCTTCAGGATGTTATTCTTCATTCTAAGCCTTTTGGCTCACCTTTATCATTTCACCTTGGTGCAAAAGGACTTGTTCTGTTTGGATGGTGGACTCATAGCCACAGCTGGCATCCAGCCAATTTTGGAAGGCGGACTAAGATGTTTGAAGACAAAGCCAAATGGGGGCCAAGCTTGTGAAATGTTCCGTGCTTTTTCTTCTTCTTCTTTTGATATCTGGAGCATAGAGTGATGTTGCCATGGCAGCGCGCTGGACGTGGGGAGTGTCTCCGACGGTCTGAGGGCTTTCCAAATAGGTTTGCATATGTTCTGCTTGCGCTTGCTGTGCTTACCAAGATTCCCGGTAATTGAGCTGACAGACCTTTTTGTTTTGCTTCTTGTTGTTTTATTTCTTCTAAATTAAATGTTTATGCTCCTTCAAATCACTGAGTGTTGGATGTGCGAAAAGCCCGTCGGCTTCTTTCTCTTGAGGTGCAGCTATGCGTGGCAGAGCCCTCCTGTGTTGGTCCGAAGAAATCCAAAATGTCTCGTGCAAGCTGCTGCGGAGGCTGTCGAGGTGCCCAAAAGCAAGAGCAAAGCCGGAGCGTTTGGGATTGGTGCATTGGCCGGAGGTTTAGGCGGGGAGAGAAAGAAGATCATCAGATAACTACTTAACTACTTTCCTTCTTACATTGGGAGTTGATCTAAAACGCCGTGTAAGGCAAGGAGTTTTATACAAAACAGTCTTTCAGATGTTAAAGCCATCCGTGAAAGATTCGTGATGAGGCTCGCAAAGAAGAACTTGTTTCCGCGAAAGATTGATCGAAGGTCGTCTGTTTTCATATGTTTTCCTCCGGCAGAGCCGGAGGGCGAAAAGTCCCTGCATATCCCCATTCTGCTGGGGTCATGCTGCAAGATGTCAGTCCTGGCTTTTGTGATACAAACAAGAATAGTTCCGGCTCATGTTAGCTAGACAGGCTTGTAGGACCATGCTTCGTGATGAAGCCGGAAAAGATATCCTTTTTTTTCTGCCAAGAGTGGCCATTCCAGGATGAAAGAATATTGATCAACCACCAGATCTTAAGATCTCCATGCTGGAGAGGGAGCAGTTCTTAGCAAGACTCATGAATCTGCAGAATGCTTCTTCATGTTGTAGGCTTTCGCTTTCTTGTCCATCGTTAGCATCACTTTCCCACTTTCTCCTCCAGTCGCTGTTGGGCCGCCATTGATTGATTCAGGCGGTGCTCTGGGTTTGGGCGGTGGCTTTCTGGTGGTTCCCGCCTTGAACTCGTTGATGAACATGGAGCCGCGGAAGTCCATCGGAAAACTGGCTCCGAAATAAAACAAGACCCGTCACTATTTTGTGGGGTGATGTTTTTTCGTTCTAATTGAATCAATCTATGTATGTTTTCTGTTTGTTTCTTCACATTTTGTTGATGTTTTTCTTCTTCATTATATTTTGATTCCTTTGCACAAAGTCCCAGGGACGAGCTCCTTTGTGGTTTTGGCAACCAGCTGCTCAGCGGTTTGCAGCTATCTTCATGAGGGCTTAGCGTCACTTCGTGCTGCTGGTGCAATTGCCGCCACGGCCATCTTCAGTGCACGTTTGGGAGCTTCACTTACAAGCAAAGTGAAACCCAAAACCCTGAAGAAAGGCTTTGGGGCCTGGCTTCTTCTGGTAAGCGCGATCATTTTGGCGAAAGCTTTCCGCTTGATGCCTGCCACTTGGCCGCAAATTCCGAAGGAGAATCCAAGTGAATCCACTGTTTCCTCAAAAACATGAGATTTGCTCGCTGTCTCAAGAGGATGCGCATCAGGTCACGACTTCGCTTCCACACGCGGGTAGCTCCACGGCATTGCTGCCTCTAATGTTGCTGGGAGTTTTCAGTGGCCTGATCTCTGGACTCCTTGGTGTCGGAGGTGGCACTGTTCTGGTGCCGGTGCTCGCCTTGCTGTTCTCCTTTCCCCAATCTGAAGCGCAAGGAAGTGCTTTACTGGCAATGCTTCTTCCATCAGTTGCCCAGCTGAACAGACAATGATATATATATATATACAGTATATATATGGTCCCCCCCCACGACCCATATATATATATATAGTTATTATTCTATTTTTTCAGAATTCTACATAGGGCATGCTGGTGTGAGTGACCATAAGTGTTCAAACTTTGATCCAATATGGACGAACAGATGTGCATCCAACCGGCTTGGCAGGGAGGCCACGACTTTAGCTTCGCACACTCACACCTTACATTCATGCATCCATCATCGTCCCACCATGATCCATCATGATCCATCTTCCACATTTGCAGGGATCTCCATTCATTTTGTCATCGCAATATTAAACACCTTTCTGCAAGAGACACAGTTGAACCCCTTTTACAGCATGTGTTTTTAAGCGCCAGCTTGTAATCTGTTTTTCAGCTTTGTTTCAGGTGGTGAGCACCACAACGCATTGGTCCAAAGGCAACGTCGACCGAGCTGTGGTGGGTTTCGCTGTGCTCGGCGCCGTGCTGGGCGGCTTCAGCGGGGGCTCGGTGGCTGCCGTCCTCCCGGAGCGTGCCTTGCGGATGGTCTTCGGCTGCGTGCTGTCGCTGGTGGCGGTAAAGTATATGAGATCCTAATCCAACTAAAACTGACCATTCCAAGCTTTAAATCCTCGAAAAGAGGGATGAATGGAGAGAAATCCAGAATTTGACGTGGAGACGTTCTTGTGAGATGGCAGCTGCTGCTCCGCAATTCGGATTGCGGCAGAAGTAAGGCCTTAGTTTTCAGGATGCTTAGCAGCTGAACGCGAGCAATCTCACAAGACGAGGTAGAGCAGAAAACAATTGGGTAACATGCGGTGTATAAGTACAGGTGGCACGAATTGAATAAGGCTGATTGCAAAGAATTCTTTTGCCCGTGGCTCCTCTATAAACAGAATCGCACCGAGAGTTTCCTTGGACCTCCCAAGTGCTGTCCTGGTCATTTAGTAATTTATCCAAGTTTTGGCAAGGCGTACTCCTTTCATCGCTTCCATTCCGGTACTTGCTCAGAACTGCTGAGGACACGAGATTTACGCCTTTGCAACATGTAGGTGTTGAGGCCCCAGGTCCCTCATCTGAATAGCTCAATCGCGAACCATGGGAAGCACTCTTGCCAGATATTATAGCAGCACTGTGGGAACACCTGGCCTCTTTGACTTCAGCACAGAGAGAGGCCAGTTGATGCGTGGCCCTTGATTGTGCACAGCCAGTGAAGTCTTGTCATGCTTTGTTCACTACTCGCACCTTGAACATTGAACCTCCTGTTTATTCGATAGCACATGATGCTCATTGCTTGCCGCCAAGTCTTGCTAGAAATAGTTTGGCTCGCAGAGAATTTCATCTCCGCTGATCCTCATCAGACAGGTGGAAGTCAATGCCTTGGACGATGCCACGAAAGCTAAGTTGGAAACATTCCTGGAGGCGCAAAGCATGGCAAAGCTTCTTGAGTCTATGTTGAACATGCACAAACTGGGCTTCTGCACTTGGTCACATCCATGTGGAGGTGCTGTTGCACCAGCACACATTTGGGTGGATTGAATACTTTAGTCGTGCTGCCACACAAACTTGGCCTGGTTTTGTACTTGCATGTGCTCTTGCTGTCAGGCAAGGATAGCAGCGAGCACTGGACAAGGCACCTAGTGAAACTTCGACTGCAGCTGAACTGTTTAGCGGACTATTGCCAATAGAGGCTCAGATTTCTCTATCCGCTTTTTGTGGCGTTCAAGCCCTTTGATGATGCCAGTAACATACAGCTTGCTGTTCCGGGCACTTTTGCAATTTTCTTTGCATTGTTTTATGTTGCGTGACAAGCCATCAATCACATGGCCCACATTGAGATGTCAAGTTTCTTCTTGCGAAGCACACTCTAACTCACGGGATCATTTAGCAACAATAATTAGCACACTGCCAGGTTCTGCATCTGCGGAGGACTCAGACCTAACCGCTTTATAGAGTACTATCTGATCCGTGCATCTTAAGTGTTGAGCACACACACCAACTTTACAACCTTGCACCTGCTGACACCAACATGTTAATCCATCTTGGACAGCTTTAGTTGCTTATAGCATCTATCAGTTTGGCGAAAAGGCATGCTTCACGCAACAAGTTCTCCGTAGCAGGAGCCAGCAGGGGAAAGAGAGTCTGAGGCGCAATAATCGGACATATTTTGGTCGGCGGTCATGCAAGGATCATGCGCTGGGTGGGTACTAGACTTGATCAATTTTTTGACTTATTGGGTTGGAGGCCATCGCCGCTCTAGGTCAGCATTGAACAGTTTGTGTGGGAATTGGCTCTTGTAGCTTCGCAGCAAGTGCCACACGATTGAAAGTGAACATAGCAAATTGGTGAAGGCCAAGAAGGCGAAAGAGTCAAGGTGCCAAAGGGTTGCCCAGACAGAGACGGTCTCTCCGGCTTTTGCATCAATTTGGCAGCGATTTATAACACTGAAGCTGCGCACGCATTCACATAACACATATCAATTAGGATACTGTTCCGGTAGCATACTGTACATGATTGAGCAGTATTGAATCTTTGTGCTTTGCTGTCGACTTGCTTCAGAGCAGTTTGCGATTGCCCGACACGTTTCCAGGAAGTCGAGAGATCGCAGCCGCAGTCGCAACCGGAGAAGGCACCCATCCCAGATGCCCCTTGAGACGCAATCCATGGTGAGCTCGCTAATAGGAATCCATTGTGGTCACATCTCAAAGCAGAATTCAGTTGTGCAGCTCACACCGTGACAAACATGTGCAATTCAACACAGTGTGAGATACATGATAAATGGTTCATAGTTCAAAACATGGTATGACAAAGTGCTACTCTCAGAGCATGAGAGTTGATCTGTGAATCTCACACTGTGACATACACGTGAACTTCACCATACTCGTAATGTGAGATGGATATATTGTTGATGTTTCGATCTGATTCAATCTATGAAATGCAAGACTACTGATGTGACAGTATGAGATACTATAAGATAAATGCCACTAATCTCATAACATGAGCTCACTGACAGATGTGGACAAGTTGGGCAACGTTAGGTTGATTTCCATTTGTACTCAAGCAGAAATTCTTTGTGGTGGGTGGGGCCATTGCAAGCAAGCAAGCTACAGCCCCTCTAGACTCTGGTGTTTGTGAAATGTGGTAGTCTGTGAACGTTAATGAGTTGTCTGTGGTTGTAGAGTGTGGACATGTGTGGACATATGCATGTTGTGAAGTGTGGTGATTTGGTTCAGGCGGAAGTCCTCCTCTTCTAGCGAGGACACATGGGAGTGCGAGTCTCACAGGGAGAACTGCCGTGCTTGCACGCCTTAGACCCATACGTGCCTTAGACTCGACCTACGTTGCTGCTATTTGTGTAACACAAGTCAGACATGGCATACTGTATATTATTCTCATTCAACTTATTCATGTTTTGCAGCTTCTGGGCTACGCATGATGCGTTTGGCAGTAGTATGTAGCAGCAGACAAGAGTTGATTACTGATGCCATAATGCATGTTGCCTGCGGTCTCAATGGTTGACTCACTGTACACGCCCGACAAAGCGTTTTTGTGTTTATGACAGGACTCCGACTCTGAAAGCTCACGGTCGCGCTCGCGGCGCCGAAGAGGTTAGATCCGAGTGGGATTTGTTGCGCAAATTGTTGCCTACTGTTTCTAAGGACTTCTGATTTGCAAGAAGATTTGTGACATCCCAATGTGCTCACGGTGATCGCCAGGCAGCTGAACCATGCAGTGCAATCTGGTGCAAAAAAACGATGCATTGAAGCACGATGTCATGCTCTCTTGGGGTTTGTACTCACTGAGCAGATTTCTTTCTCTTGAGTATATAGCTCTCGTTTGTGTGTACTTTGGACAGTTCCCAGTGTTCAACTGCGAGTTCAGCTGATCAAGGGATTGCTGCAGCTTGAATCAACTTCATCCTGATGAGTTATAAGTAAGGTGTTGGCCTTTCTTTGCTTTTCCCCTGAAGCTATTTACGTGATGGAACCAATCCATACCAATCCAAAGTGTGTCAAGCGGCTTCAATAGCAGACTTCCAAGAAGCCTCGTGGAAGCCGCAACACCCTTCACGAAAGCTCTTGAAGCTTGGAATGTCAGAGAAGTGGGGAAGGTAGACACATCGTGTGAGTAAAACGACTTTGGCCGGGCGGCATGAAGCTGGCAATTCTAAGCCTGTGCTTGTGGAGGCCGAACGGGATGTCTGCTGTGGTGCAAACGTGCTGTTTAATGCTTATGAAATCATATGAAATCTTATGAACTTATTATGATCAGATAGAGGACTTTTGGTTGGCATTCCTTCAGCCTCCCTAGCAGAAGGTTCTGAAAAGAGCATGTTCCGGAAGCTGTTAACTGAAGTTGTAAACTGAAGGCATGGCTGGTCTGGGCCGCTCTTCCCAAAGGAGCCAAGAGGTTTGCTCTAGTAAATAGCGTCCTTGCTACTAGTAGTAATGGCCTCCAACCTAATAGCGATGGCCTCCACCTAGCAGCGTCCTTGCTACTAGTTACATGCTCAGAATCCTTAACTGCGAGGAGCTATACTGCTCGAATGCTTCGCTCCGTCTTCAAATGCAGGCAGGGAGTGCCAAGATTGGACAAACCACCTCGGACCTCCAACGAGCGCACTAACCTTGTAAAGCAAGAGGAACTTGAGCCTTGGCCGCTGAGCTCCTGTGCTTGAGGATGCAAAGAAAGCAATCCCGGCCCTTTCTTTGCTTGTTACTAGTAGCTTCTAGCTACTAGTAGCGATGCCCTTGTTGCTAGTAGAAAGCATTGTGGACAGGACACGCGCCACGGAGGTGTGGCGCAGGCACTCTGGGGTGAGTGACCTTTCGCATTGGTCGATTTGCAGTGGAGTTTATGGCCCAGAAACAAGTTTTGTTACGTTTCCCTAAAAATCCAGAAACCCAATCTCACCTCGTCTACGGCAATCTCCTTCATGACTTGTTTTTGATCAGAGACATGTGGAGGCTGACATACCCTGTGACAGCCGCGCGTTTGGGCGTTTGAGCACGTGCTGCAATGCTGAGGACAGAGATCAACTTGTTAGGCTCTTAGGTTGGAGGCCATCGCAAGTAGGTTGGAGGCCATCGCTAGTAGATTGGAGGCCATCGCTAGTGGGTTGGAGGCCGTCGCTATTAGGTTGGAGGCCATCGCAAGTAGGTTGGAAGCCATCGTAGGTAGGATGGAGGCTATCGCTATTAGGTTGGAGGAGATCGCTATTAGGTGTGAAACCATCGCTGGTAGGTTAGAGGCCATCGCAAGTAGGTTGGAGGCCATCGCAAGTAGGTTGGAGGCCATCGCTAGTGGGTTGGAGGCCATCGCTAGTGGGTTGGAGGCCATTGCTATTAGGTTTCTTAAAGTATTTTTTCTACAGTATAAAGTTTGTTGATATTCTTTTCGGTTGGAGGCCATGAAGATCAACTGGTTAGGCTGTTCATGAGCAGAGCTTGTCTCCTTGAAATGAGCACACACACACATGCAGAGGTAGCTTGGTCCTTTTGTGGTCTTGCAAATTTGAAATGGGGGAGGACCTTGCTCAGATGTTTGACTTCGCAGGATGTGACAGTTGTCATGGAGCATTTGCAGTACCACAGCTGCAGTTTGCTGACATGATGCATCCAATGATGCTCCCTAGAAAGGGCAAGCCAACAGACCAAGACTTGTCCACAAAATTACAGCATGGGACAAGTTCCAGACTGCACAGCCGTTGCGCAGATGTTTGTTGCTGGTTCTTGAGACTAAGCATTGAGTGGACCTTCCCATGTGCGGCCGTTGGACTCAGCATTCCCTCATACATATCCTCCCTCCGTTGAATTCTCTTACTTTTCATGTGAAAAATCAATTTGGCTCCGAGGCACACCATGCAATTCGGCATGCGGCATTTGACAGATCGGAAGGAGTTCGCAGCTCAGAAGTTCCTGCGCACCGCCGCACAGCCATGAGCAGCCCGACGGTGGAAAGAACTGAGGTTCTTGGATCAATACAGCAGTGCTTCGATGCAGAAGCATCCATGTGGTGAGGCTCCTGAGGCGCATCCATTAAATTCCCGAACAGTTCGGACATAAGTTCCAGCTGAAAGCTTCACTGCGGTTGTTTAACATTCCTTTACAAGATGTTGTAATCCATTTGGCTGGCTGCTTTCTTACATGGATTTTGTATTTTTTTCGAGGCCATGCTGCGGATGCGATTAGAGAAACTCTCCGAGTGTCAACAGATCTCTGAGGAGCCAAGACACATTTGGTCCCGTGTAGTGAGGTGGTTTGGACACTTTTTCCTTCTATATATTCTTATTTTGTTTTTTTGGACCTTTAGACAATTTTTGCACTTCCCTTTCTCCACTCTCTTTTTCAATCATTTGTGATCATCATGCTTCTGGATAGCTCCTTGCAGTGAACTTGCTCCTTTGGCTCTTGGTGTGAAGGAGATTTTGGGCTTGCTGCAAGCAACTGTGAGGTCTGCCGCTGGATTTGTGTTTCGATTCCGGGGGACGCTTGATCCTTCGTGTTTGCCCCAACCTCGGTTTGTGCCCTTGCTCTTTTGCAAGAACTTAAAAGGCAAGAGACATAGTTGACCGGATCAAATGAGTATTTTCCTGCTTAAGTATGTAGACTCTTGATTAGTAAGACCTCCCATTTGGATAAAACCCCCCTTCATACGGAGGGCTTTGTTAATCAAGAGTCTACATTAGAGTTCAAATTGCTTGTTTCTACTGTCAACCTGCGCTTCATTTCGTTGCACAACCAAGAAACTGACTGTGAAAAAGTCGGTCTGAATGGTTTGGCCAAGCCTTAACATATCGTCACATTGTTGTCCCATGTTTGAGATTCGGAAGCGCCAACTGCCTCAGTCATTTGCTGTGCGCTGCCTGCCGTGGCGGCGTAGAGTCCAATGCAGCCTTGCTGATAGATGCGGAGGTGCCCAAAGCGATGCACCGCACGAACATTTTTCAATGATCACGAAAGCTAGCATGCTAGCTGAGTTCTTCTTTGCTTTAGCAATGTTGTGGTGGGAGGGGCTGCGTGCCTTAAAGATTGATATATCAAGCTAACCCCCCCCCCCCCGCGGTTCAACTCCCAGCTGCGCCGCTTCGCTTATTGTTGTGGTGCATACCACCATTCCACTGAATGCATGATGTGTCCTTTACTGTCTTTCTTAACAGCTACAGGTTCAGAAAAACACCCGGCCGGGCAGACAGGGACACCTTACTGCGTGGCGCTTCATTGCAGTCCTCTACTACTTCAAGACCCGGAGGGGGCTGCACCCACACATCAAAAACGCAAGAAATGCTTGCCATTGCTTTTTAGAAAATCTGGGGGGTAGATTTACCCCCCGCTTTTGGATGCCTTTGCCGGTTCTTTGGGGCAGTCCAGGGGAGGCTTCAAGTTCTATTTGCACCCACACATCAGATAATGCAAGAAATGCTTGCCATAGCTTCTACAAAATCTGAGGGGTCAATTTACCCCCACTTTTGGAGGCCTTTGCCGGTTACAAAGTATCAGTTATATAAACGTAAGTCAAGCTTCTTTGGGGCAGTCCAGAGGGGGCCTCCAGCTCTATTTGCACCCACACATCAGTGATGCAAGAAATGCTTGCCATAGCTTCTACAAAATCTGAGGGGTAAATTTACCCAATAGAGCACTCTTATGTCTCCTCAGCCTTTCATAAGCACTCTTATTTGTCCTGCTTTAACTGTTTTCCTCTTTACAATTCTCAGCCGAAAAAGTCCGGTGCGCTTCCGCTAGCTTTCGACCTCCTCCCCCTGGCCTCAAGTTTTCAATGTCAGCTGATCCCAGAACCTCGGAACAAGAGCCCGGGACTACATCAAGACTCGTGGAAATCAAAAGTAGGCCAAAGAGATGAATTTTGATTTGGCACCCGTCCCAGGTCACTTTATCCCTTAAGAAAAGTGCATTCAAGCTATTGGGCAGTGGCAGGGCTAGTTTTGATCGCAGGTTGCTTTGTCCGACGAGTGGAAGCGTCTTTCCGTTGCAACGCAGAAGGTTTATCAGGACCGCTGCCACGCGTTCAAAGGTGTTGTGGCTTCACTTCTGACAATTCCCAAGAAGACCCAAATTGTTGCGTCGTAACCCAAATACTGTATTCATTTGCAGTGCACAACCTTTTTCTTGGAGGAAATCCGCGCCCATGATGCAGCCATCGCTGGACAGATGCGCAAGGCATGGTGCATCCGAGGAAGCATTACCACCCATTTTGTTGCAATGTTTGCTTGTTTCTGAATATCTGAATTGTTTTGGGGGTCGTGGGGTCTGTTGGCCGTGCTCTTTGGAAGCAGTGCAGGTCGGTGCGGATGCGTGCATCATGGACTTTGTGGAGGCTCGAAGTGGAGCTGCATATTCTGTTTGTCTCAAGACCAGGGACCCCAAAGTAAGTAGGATATCATTGAGCAAGAATTGAGTGAGTGGTGGACCTCTACAAAGTGTTGCAAGCTTCTCTGATTTTAAGAAACCGAGCCCTCAACACCCCATCAACCTTCAAGTCACAACTCTGGAGATGCTAAACCAATACAGACAGCTGATTGTCAACACTCCAAACAGCAAAGCATTTAGGACAGACTGCGGCCTTCGTGCGCAAGTCATCGTTTACATGTCTTCCAACTGCCAATCGACCCTGAACACTGAGGCACAACGCCGGGGCATTCCGGCACCTGGCACGCTAGGGCTGCTCAGACGTGTCGATGCCGAGCCTTTTGGGAAGTTTGATGTCGGAGCAAATTGTCTAAGTGTCCAAAGGCCAAGGGACAGAAAGCAAGAAGCAAAAAGCGGATAAAACAATTCTTCCCGACCTCCGTTTGATACCATGTTGGACCTTGGCAGCTCCGACCACAAAGTTCAACTAGAGCTAGATACTGTCGCATGCACACCTATGGACGCCAAGTGAATCCAACCCTTTGCTCAAGGTTCACTGTTTCACCAAACAGCGAGTCAGAGACACCTTCGGCAGGCAAGCATGATGTATTGAAGATGCTAGGGATTCCGCTGCTTCCTTTGAAAGCACCTGTATGATCCAGCCAAAAAAGAGCTGGGCACGCTAATTCTTGTTTTTTGTAGTTGCAAGTATTCCTATGCTTGAATCACTACTCACTACTCCAATCAGAAGCAATCCAGCTGGTTGGGTTTGGGAGGGTCTTATCATTCATTGGTACCTTTTGGTTTATCCGAGGCATGTGATGAAGCTACGCGCATGGCATTCTGGTGAAGGCTTAGGAGGTGAGCTGCACCTTGCATTATGCCCTTTATGTTTGCTGGCTTTGTGGCATTTTATGGCTTAACTTTGCAGCTGCCGCAATTCTGTTTTTTCTATTTCCCTTTACCGATTTGGCACTTTGGGATCAGAGGGCGCAAGGCGCTCAAGGCGCTCCAGCCTGTGGCGATCCCGCCATGTCTCCCGTGTGGATCACGTTTTTTGCCCTGGTGGAAAGCTTGGATGCCTTGGCTGGTCACTGGACTGGAACGCTTTTCGATGGAAATAAGCCTGGCCAGGTAATGAGCAACAACTGCTCCTTGGACCTTCATGATGATGGCACAGGGGTCTTCCATTGGCCATATACAGATCGCGTTTCTCTCGATCAGATTCTAGCTGACAAGACCTACTGGTACGGGTCACGCAATGATGGAACGAGCAGTCATGGCAATATGCAGTGCAGCCTTCTTTCAGATGGCACTGGCTCAGTCTTTTGTTCTTTCTATTCGAGTGATTGCGGCTGGTCCGAGGGTTGTGACTACTACTTCAAAGGTCAGACGGCCAGCAACGCGACCTTGTTGGTGTAGCTACTGTAGTTCAAGCAGAATGACGGCCGTTTGGGCGATATGCTCTTGAACTGATAGAAAATGTGGCCCATCGCTGCTCGAGATAAGCTTCTTGCCAGATCTGAGTACCCTGGACACAGATTCCTGGTTTCAAAAGGCTGGTTTTTGCTAAATACTTTGTTGAAAAGATAAACATCTTGGCTGATCCCATTCCAACATTTCCGGTCTCCTTGTCTCCACTCGACAGGCTTTCAAGAAACCTGGGAGCGATACATCGATGGACTTCTGGCTATGGCACTTAGTAGTAGTTGTTGTTGTTGTCGTCGTCGTCGTCGTCGTCGTCGTTTTTTCTTTAAATGCATATAATGTGTCTAGCGTGTAATTTGGATATTTCAAGTTTGAATGTTGTTTATTTTTTTTTTCAAAATGCTTTCTTGATTCTTATGTTTATTTTTTTTTCGTGTTTTCTTTTTATCACAGGTTGAAAGAATCTGAGCACTTGTACAATTTCAGCGGCCAAGGCGCTGTCAACTGAGTCTACGGCTGAGAGGGGTCACAGGAACGGAAGCATCATTGATAGCCGATTGCAACAGCTCAGGTTGGCCGAGAGCATCATGGCGGAGGCAAGAGGGGCTGGGCAACGGATGCTTTGACTGGACATCCCCTTTGGTGCTCCGTTTTCTTTTGGTTTCGGTGCTGTCTGATGTCCATGTGAACAAGAGTGCCGTTGATGCCAGATCACCGGCTTGATGCTGAGCTTTCAGCATGTCAAGGGACTCAGCTGGTCACTGGCGTTTGTGTTTAAAAGCACAGCGCAAATTTACTTCAAATATCTTCAAAGACTCAGTTTCTTGATCTTGCCACAAAACTTGAGGCTCTCCAATCGAGCCCAGCACAGCTGCTGCTCTGTGTTGGGTGCTCGTCTCACGTGACTCACGACCAAGGAACCTGACGAACCTTCACTGTCGGGCCAGTGGATCGTTTTCAGAGTTGAGAGCTCCATTCCCTTGAATCCGAGAACCCAGCTTCGCTCAGGGATTTCCAGAGAACCATTTTGACCCCAAAGTGGATCTATGGCAAAGAGTTGGTTGGAGGCCCAGATGTCTTTTGCCAAAATCAAGAGCACTTTATACACTAACCCATCCATTCCTGGTTGAAGGGCCTTTGAGGCTTCCTTTGACCCTTGAGGCCAGCGACACACCAAAGAGGACACGGCCGAGGCGCCAAATGAAGCACTGAACTTTACAAGTGCGAGGTTTAGGAGCTTTGTTGAAAGATTGGATTGTTCAATTGCTCACTTCACTTCCACAATTCGGATGGCAAAATCAAACTCACATCTTCACTGAAATTGAAGTTAGTCGTTGGTCTCTTTTCAAGAGCAGATCCCAGACTCCGAAGACATCCAAGACATCCGGGGCGATTTAGCCTCTCAGATGACTCTGTTGGTGGCGATGCCGAATCCTACCACCAATCTCCGCAACGGGACCTAACCGAGTCTGAAGCAACGGCTTGAAGCTCTGAAATGTAGCATTGATTTTTGCAATATCGTGTATATATGTTTGTACTTTTCTATATAATACTTGTATGTTATGTGTGTTTGTATCCTAAACGGTCAAAAGTCAGCTGCTGATGGGTCTGTGATGGTCCACGATCCACGGACGACAACTTTACCCACGGTGCTGATGTTATTGCTGACACAATGTTGGATAGTGTTGGACATAGCCACGTGTATGTTGCATTCGCTCTTGCGTACTTTTGAAGCATGCTCATATCCGTCTCACCTCACCTGTTGTTCACGTTGCTTGAGGCTTTGACTTTGCGAATGACAAAGCAACTCTGAGCAGGGAACTTGATATGTATTGAGACTGCTTTTCGTGCACAAGCGCTACTTTTCTGGCATCGATGCTTTTCAATGAATACCAATTTGGAATGATACATCGTGCAAGCGCAGACTTGCTGAAGCCGCTAGCTGGTTATTCTTAGCCTGATGACCGAGGCAAGGATGCACTGCTGAAGCATGCTGGGAACCGAGCGCTCGGCCCTGCCCTTGCTTAATTGAGTAGGCGCCTATTCAATTAAGTAAGGGAGTAAGCTTCTAGCTACTGGACAGGGGGAGCTTCCTTGAAGAACTGTTCATTTAATTCCTAGATTTTTGGGGAAACTATCCTAGACAAGCAATCAAAGAATTGACTCCAAGCCTTTCAAACGCATCAGAAACTGTCACGTTCAGCTGTGTTTGAAGAGTGAACGCATGCTCCAGTTTTCGACCGACGCGAGTTGGGCCCGATTTGAGCTAAAAGTGCGCGGGTTTAGGACACGTTTGCGCCATGGGGTGCATTTGACATGTTACATTGGTGCCGCGGAGCCTGGACGGTTGGGTGAGAAGACCTTTTTCCTTTTCCCATGGAGGCTGGGGAAGCAAGATGGGGCCATATCCCCATTTGGTCTGGACAACCTGAGGCTTTCAGCCATTTCATCCATGAAGTGAAATGGACTTTGAGTTCGAGCAAGAAGGAAGAGAGAGCACTTCTTGCGGCCCGCATCGTGAGGAAAGCGTTGCAGAGCGGACAGCCCACTTTGGTTCAGTTGATGTACAAGTTGAATCCAGATGATTTTTCTGGGGAACAGGACGTTCAGAAGCTGATTCGGTTTTTGGAGGATTCCCCATTGAATCGACAAGCGTTGCCTGATGCAGGACAGAAGATTGGAGCCTACTACAGGAGACTTTCGAAAAGGCCAAACGAAAGTGTACCAGCTTTCTTGGTTCGAGAGGATAAGGTCCACGATGAGATGTTGAAAGCATTGCAACGTTTGTTGAGAGAGAAGGAACTGGATTTTGATGGATACAACATGACCCTCCCGGAGCTCAAACGGTTTGTTGGCATGGAGCCTGAAGCTTCTTTGTTTTACGGCGACGACGCCAATGAGGCCGACACCATGGACCAGGAGGAGGAGACCGAGGAAGAGCAGTCGCAGCGCAGCTCGAAGACAGCAGCGCCCTCGAGGGACGGTGTGCCCTTTTCACGCAAGTCTCAAAGCGTGGGGCCTTCAGAAGAGGCTGGAGGTCATGACAAGCCCCAGCAGAGGGGCAAGGACGTCTTGGAGCTGTTGATGGAGAAGGGGCTTATTCCGTTAGCGGCTCTTGATGTTATCAGAGGTTGGTTGTTGTTGGAGATGGCTACACCGGGTGAGGAAGATCGCCGGTTGATCCGTGCGGCAACCCGGAACAAGCTTGGGTACTATGATATTCGTTCAGCACTTTTATCCATGTATGAAGAGAAGCATCACCGGAATCCGTTTCAGCATCAGCGTGGTGGTGGCAAAGGTGGAGTGTTTTCAGCAGACGTTGATACAACAAGTTGGGATGAGTTTGAGCCCTATGATCCAGGAGCAAGTTCGTCGTCTCACGACCAGACAAACCTCTATGGCACCATGGAGGGACAGAGCTGGAACGATTGGGACAGTTGGTATGACACTTCATGGTACCACGATGGATGGTCAGAGTGGTCACCAGCTGATTCACCATCCCATGCGGAAGAACCTTCTTCACCGGACCAAGCAAACATGGTCCACCATCTGATGCAGGAACAGGAAGATGCTGAACGCCAACACATGGAGTTGCAAGCTTTGACCGCTGAGAGTGAGCGGACTTTGGCTGAAGCTCGTCGTGCAGTGACCCAAGCGGCCAAAGACAGAGGATGGAACTCTCCTCCACAACAACGGCAACCCCGACCGACTTCGATGCATCCAAAGGGCAAAGGCAAAGGCTATGGCTATGGGTCCAATTCCTTTGGACCGAACCAGTTTGGCAAGAGCGGCAAAGGCCGAGTGTTTTATGAAGAAGACCTTCAATGGATGAAGGGCAAACCTGGTTCGCCGAAAGGCAAGTTCAAGGGCAGTTCTCATTTCAAAGGTTCTGGCAAAGGAAAAGATTTGCATTTCAGTGCACACTACATGTATCCCATTTTCTCGGCAGAACACAATCCAGCTGAGTTGGGGCCCAATGAGTCGATTGTTGAC